TGCATACCAAGGAACCTCCTATTAACAAGGGCACCAATTTTGTGAGAATCAGAAACCTCAGAGGCCTTTCAGAGTTTACAAGTCAACTGAGAACTAGAGGCAGCGTGAGGACTGTGGAAATACCGAACGCACTCAGCAGCGCCTGGCATGGTCCCTGGCAGTTGTCTACATTTGTTTCTGCTTTGTTTTTTCATAAACAGAGCTCAAATCTTGGACTCACAGATTGGATGGTTGCTCAACACCAGGGACGGACTTTCCAGTAACCACACGGCAGAGCACACTCTGCTCTGAAGAGTGCTGGGCTCTCTTCTACTACCAGCCTGAGGAGTCTTCTAGAATTCATTTTAGACACAACACCAACAAATGCAAGCCCCCCCCCCCGTGGGGAAAAGCACCCCAGGGGAGCAAGGTGGCACTATGAACATTCTCACAAGGCGCTCAGAACTCAGACAAAACACACGGAGAAGCAGCATCTTAGCCAGTTTAATTTATTTAAGAATTTTACAAAAAAAAGAAAAAACAAAAACAGAACAGAAAGACAAAAACACAGCGACCAAAAAACTAAATACAGAATTTTTAAGCTTTACGGCTGATAGTTTGTACTTGTATGGGTAAACTTCAACAAAGGCGGCTGAAACATTTTTATTGCATGAGACCCAATTTTTTTAAAGTCACATATCAAAATGCTAGAACAGTGGTTTCTGGACAGTTGGCACTGCACTCCCAGGACGGGAAGGGAGCAGCACAGCAGTGTCAGAACAGTGTGTGGCTTGAATGCGGACACAGTCACAAAAGAGGAGCATTATAAAAAGGGAGAGGAAAACAAGAGAAGCAGTCTAAACCAACAGTTTACATCCACCTTTTTTCAAATTGTCTTTGGATTCCATCACGCGTTGTCTCAAGATGCACCGGGTGGGTTAGCAAGGAGGTATGTCTACGCCTATGTATAAAAGTGGCCTTTGCTCAGCAGAGGTAGAACCTGGCAAATTTTATTGCAGAGATACAGCACACCTCTCCCACCTCTCATGGCTGATGGTAGATACAAGTGGTTATTGAGAAAGAGTATCAGTAGTTTGCAAATTCAGTATAAACCATTAACAGGGTGACCATTTCTGATAGCAGTGAGACCACAATGGGCTTTGTTTAAAACAAACAAACGAACAAACAAACAAACAAAAAACTCTCTGCCCCAGAAAGTGGAAGTCAGAAAGGAGACTCAAGCTTCTTTACCCTCTTCAGTGCCACAAATACTGTCACAGCGAGAGAGGCCCGAGGACAGGGAGGCAGAGGGGCCGGGGGAGCTCTAAGGGGCCAGGACCAGCAGTAGTGGTCCCAGGCTCTCGGGCCCTTGTACATTACAGATCAACTTCCGAAGACATGAAATGGGGACAACAGCCAAGTTCAACACTAGTAAGTGAAACATGGATGTGGGTGAAAGGCCCAAGAAATGCTCAGGGCAATCTTTCCTGAAAGCTATGGAGAAACATTTTCTCAAAGGTGCAGAATCTGCTTTGGCTGGCCTCCGGGGCATCTATCACCACCACTCCTGGGAATGGCCCAGGGTCCTTGCCGCCAGCAGCTCCAGGGGCTATAGTCACATAGCCCAGCTCAGCTCCCGCATTTGGGAGCACCCTGAACAGCGGCGTTAAGTGAGGCTGGGGTGTTACTGGCCAGCACTCTGACTGCAGACCACCTGTGGCACAGAACTCATGCACAACCCCATGGCTTGGAGAAGTTGCACGGGCATGTCGCTGCAGTACAGTGCTCCTCCCATTCTTAACCTGCTTGTGGCTATGAACACTGGGGTGGGCCAGGCCTGCCCTCTGCCCACTCTAAAGAAGCTTAAAGGTGAGGACAGCAATTACCTAGCTCACAAACAATGAAAGTTTTAAATATTCTTTGCAGGTGGACATAGAGGCCCAGCATCTCCTGCTGTATCAGCAGCAGGCCTGGAATCACTTGCAGACCTGCAAGATTTCCACCTGTGCTGGAAAATCAGATGAAGGACTTAGTGCAGGCCTGAAAGACAGCCAGGGTAGGAGCAAGTCAGGTTTACTTATGACTAAGGCTGATCCCAAATGCACTGAAGAAGTTAAAAGGAGCTTACAGAAGTCTTGGGAAGAAAAAAATTATGTGGAAACATCAGGCTCACTATAGCTCCCTAAGAGCAACAGAAATGAGCCTACCATAGAACAACAGCGTCAGAAATTGCACTCAAGTACATTCCCCCAATACAACGCATTGCACACATTAAAAATGGTAATAAAAAGGCAAAACACAATCAGGCATGTTGAAAAAACATTAACACAAAACATAGGAATTCAACAGTAAAGATGCAAAGTGGAATTCTAAAATAGCTGAACAAATTCAACTAAGAAAATTTCCCATTATTTTCTACATTAAAAAAAAAAATGTCCCTATGGGAAGTCAAGGAAAGAATAAATAGGATCAGAGGGAAGAGAGATAGGGGAAAAAGTGGGCAGGTACCAATTTACAAGAAATATTTACATTCAGAATTCAAAAGAACACATTTCTATATATACACATTTATGTACACATATAGGTACAGCATAAAATTAGAAAGTGGATATTGGATTTCACCTCAAGTACTCAAAACCTGACTAGCTAGCTTGAGTTGCAGGTATCTAGATGTGTTTCCTTCACTTACACGCTTATGAGACACAGTATCTGTATCAGACAACTGGCATCCAATGAGGATTCTACAAATGGTGTCTGCTCTTAGCTATCGCCACAACACAGACAACTTGTGTGGCCCAGCAGCCAAGTGTGCACGTGTGCGTGCAAGGGTGCAGTGCTCACTGGGAGACTACAGGCCCGGGGGGGTGGGGGGGGGGTGGACAAATGCCCATCAGCCCAGTGGTCACAGTTGCCACTGGAATATCTGATCTAACCAAACTTCCACCTGTTCACTGCATCCCAGCTCAGATAATGCTTTAAAAGTAAGAATATTAGGATAGGGACTGTCCTCATAGTATTTTATCAAGGAGAGACCCCCTTCCAAAAAAAGACCCTGGGGAGAAAATTTTTTCCTTGGCTCCCACTTTCATAAAATCAGATCCATCAAGCATGTGTGATCACTGTTCCCTCCCTCAGTTAACCTGGAGGGGGTTCAGCTTGCGAACGTGAATGTCCTGGTAGCCTGTCTTGACTAAGAAGTTGTTCCCATAACATCACATGGAGAGAGCACAGGCCTGTCCCAGGGACTACCGTGAGAAAACTGTGCCTCTAAAATACTATGTTCCCTGGAGTTTTGACCCTTATTTATAGATGAAGCACAGTAAAACTACATGTTTATTTAATGTTGCAACTCAAAGAAAGGTTTCAGAAGTGCTAATTACTGGGTTGGAATAAATATATATACACACTACCACAATGCTTTGGACGAAAGTTCTTTCTAGTTATGTACAGATGTAAATACATTTAAGAATGTATCTGCAATTAAGCAGCAAAATAGGAAAAATGCTTAAGATACTTCCTTTTTGATCAAATTGTGTTAAAAAGAAAAGAAAGTATTTTGCAAAAATTTTTAGGAATTCACATTATTGATACACATCTGGATAATCCCTCTAAACTGCAGCTAAAGACCTGTGATAAAAAGGTTGCTAAACTGGGGAACACTATTTGCCCCAAGAGATACTTTCTGAGCAGCTCTGGACTTGGGAAGTGTTTTTCAGTACGGATGACACTGTAAACTCTGAAAACACTAACAAGATTTACAATCAAGTCTTTGTGCTCAGAGCTATATTGCTAAAAAGGGAGAAAAGGCATTGACCACAGAGGCCAAATGGACTTGCATCGGATTCAACAAGGCCCCCTGGTTCAGACATGGCACTCAGATCCTGACGTACGTGAACCTGTTTTAAAGTAATGAGCTGTTGTTAAGACTTGATTTTTGACAGAGGAGACCTTGGAGTACTTATTTTCCCATTCTGGCCAACTTGAACTTGCTGACTTGGGTAAGGGCACAGTGTAAAGGTCATAAGCTCACCTCTGGAGAGACGGGGACAGATGTGGGCATGCAGCACCTCAGCTCCTTGTCCATTTACACTGGCTGTCTTTTGAAGGTCTACTTTGAGAGCTTTTAGAGGCCTTACTTAGGGACCTTATTTAAAAAAAATCAAAACAAAGCTGTTGCACAAAGAACAGAACACACATATGCCCCCTTGAATCAAGGTAACTATTCCAAGAGCCAACACTGTATCATGAATTATGGGGGTTGAATATTTGCACACTCAATAATCCACATACTGGTGCTGCTTGGAATAAAAAAAAAATCTTAGCAGCTAAAAATGATATACCCCCGCACACAAAAAAGGGAGTTGAGTCAACAGCCTTGAGAGTCTTTCTTCCCCAAAGCCCTGGAGAGAGCAGGTCTCTCCCCTCAGCTCTGCTACACCTCAGAAAACTGATGGAGGTTACTGGGCTGCCGTTTTTAAAAACTAAGAACTAACTGGGAAATGTCACTGAAGTGGGACAATTCTGCTCTTGGAACTGAACTGCAGTTGGGTTTGGGTGCTCTACCAGGGGACACTCACATAGTCACTGCCTGAGATAGAAGGGCTACACTGAGGATAAAAGTTGCATCCACTGGGCAAGGTATGTCAAAAAGCAGAAAAGTATACTCAGCTTGTTCTCTTAGGCATCAAGAATAAGTAAACCCAAAGAAAACTTATGGTAGACTTGACATAACCAAATACAGGATAAAAGAAACACAAAGATGAAAGTCTTTCTAGCTTTTCATCCCTTACATAGGGCTCACCTGACACTGTGAAAAATTATCGACAAAGGAAAACAATTTAACTTGAGAAACATTCAAAAGTATTATAATTTGACCCCTTCCTTACCACCCTCTCCATTTTGAGGGATAGGTTTTAAGTCAAAACACGGCTACCTGGAACGCTGCACATGCAATTTTGGGAGGATCCCATCACAGACTACTTCTGAAGGTGGTGAGGGCCTAAACAAGAGTCCACTTCTTGTTAGAATAATAACTTTTTATTTGACATCTACAAGACTGTGGTATCTTGCAGCTTTTGACTGGGTTTATACAATCTCAATTTTTCAATAGTGCAACCTGTGCAAGCAAAAAAAAAAAAAGAAAAAGAAAAAAGAAAGGAAAGAAACAGTAAAAGGAAACAAAAATACCAACTGTCCCCTCACTTGTTTTTATAGACATCTATTAAAGGCGAAACAAAACTTATCCATATTATAGATAAGTGTCTATTCACATTTGTACATTACCATTTTAAACAACTTGAGATAAACTCTACAAAGTCCAACAACACATTAAACAATATTCAAGTTACTGGGTAACAACAATGACAACAAAAAAACATACAGCAGAAGCCTCAAGTGTTTCCTCATTGTCTAGTTTACAACTCAAGTAAGGTTTTGTTTTAATAAACGACAAAGCAAATTAAGAAAATGAAGTAAAAAGCGATTGTTTGCAAGATGGAAGCCAATTTGTATTTCTAAAATTATCGTTAAGTTAAGGAAATTGTAATTTTAAGAAAAGCAGGCTTGTAGCCATTTTTGCAGCACACATTAGGAATACTATTAATACAGTAAAATTAACTGTAAGAGTTTTATCACAAAAAATGTATGTACTCATTACTTTGACCGGAAACCTGGGCAGGGAGAGTGGAAGTGGCCGGAAGGGAAGGGATTGGAGGGGCTGGAAGCAACGCCCAGGTATAAACACTATAAAAATGTAATAACCAATGCTGTACATCTACAAACATTTCTCCCCATTACTTGACTTGTGTTAATCTTGTTTACGCATGCTTTCAAAGACATGCACTGTCAGAACAAAAACTAGAAAAGAATCTGAATGCATGATATGCAACCTTTCATTTCATGCTTTAATAAAACTATTGTATAATTAAGTCGGAAAAATAAACCGATATATATTCTCTATACTTACAGACTCAAAACACATGCATCTGGGGACGATGCCACAGCAATGGCATGAATGAACTGCATTAACCCTGAGCACTGTATGATGTAAAAGTAAAGCCAGTTTGGGAAGTTCCAAGCATTTTTAAACCAATTGTGGTTTGTAGCCTTTAACAAACTCACAGACACTGACACACGCACACGTACACACCCCTCTGCTCACCCAAAGTAAAAGCGTGTGGGAAGTACCATGGGAAAAGCAAAGGAAAGACATTTGCACCACCATCGGCACTGCTGACTTTCAGTTCTGCTGTCTAATCCAGGTTTGTCCTCATACCTCCAAAAATTAACTAGAGAGAGCACAACTGAAAGAAGAATTATAATTCTTTGGAAACTGTCCCTGATTTTTATGCAAATGAATGCTTCAACTGCATTTCTGATCCATCCGTGCAGAGACCTGCCTGTCCTTATGCGTTGCTCAAGTTGGCGATGCTCTGTGGGTGGCGCTGTTGCCAGAGCTGCTTCTGCTGGACAGCAAGTTGCTGAGACTGGTCCGAAGTTGACAGGAGATTTACAAGAGGAGACACACAATTTGCTGGAATGATCAAACCTGCAATTAGAAACAAAAATTTAGAAAACCCTTATCTAAGTAAGACCACACTATATTTTACAGCTTCGCAGAAAATTTCCAATGAAGCGTACTGAATATTACATGCAATGAAAAGTTTTTATTAGGCAAAAACTAAACAAATAATAACTGAGATGACCGGTCACTTGTGAGTGACCCTAAAGGCCTAAACATATGGCTGTAACTATGTAACACATCTGTAAGAGAAACAGAAATACAGCACCTTTGTAGCTACTACCTTTGTTGGTCCACAAATTAATGAAACATCATCTTTTCTGGCATGTATTAATGTGCCACAAAGACTATAGAATAGTATTGCAAATCCAAATTCCTAACCAAATAGGTACTTCTCAGTGGCACAGTGTAGATGCTAGCAAACTGGAGCGCATGCTCCCTGGATAAGGCAACTTGAACACCCCAACCTCCACTCCAAGTGAGGCTGAATGTTCCATATGAGCTGCTATATGTGTTATTTTCTTTAAAAAAAAAAAAAAAAAAGCTAGGCTTTTGTAAAGCGAACTGCCTTTTCTTTTCTTTTTAAAGATTTATTTATTTATGCATAGAAAATTGGGGTACAGGCCAGCGAACTGGGGTACAGGCCAGAAGTGCAGAGGCAGTGAGAGGATTCACCAAAGTGGGAAGCAGAACAGGCAGATCGATGAAGTACACTGCTGAGGGGAGGAAGAAAGGAGAGGTCTATTATGCCATGTGGGTCACCTCCCTCGCCGGGATTGAAATTGTGGTTGAAGTGGCTGTGGCTAGCTTCATAGTGCTGTGCTTTTTTAACTTGCTGTGCAACCAGAGAGGGCAAAGCTGATTTTTAAATGTTGTTCAATTAAAGTAAAAACTCACCACCCAAAATATTTGAGGTTCAAAAATATGTTCCTGTACAAATTTTAGCCCAAAGCTGCTAATCTGCAGCCCATGACTGAGAGAGGCTGCTGCAAATGAGACCAAGACAAAGCTACGGCCAGGGCAATGGCAAGGAGACTCCTGGGAAGCCTGTCACTGAGTGAATGGTGGCAACAGACAGCTCACTTGGCGCCTGCTCCATGTGACTCCAGTTCATCCTCAGCACAGTGGCTAGTCCCACAGTCCCAATCTGTATATGAAGAATAGGAAATGGTAGACTTCAAGAAAGTGGGCAAGAGACTGAGAATAACCTTCATAGTAAGGAGCCTGCATAGGAAGGGGCAACAGTGAGGTGGGGGGGAGCAAAGGCAGCCAAAAGCAGCAACACTGTATCAGCACTCCAACCAGAATGAATAATATCCAAAGACTTCTGCTCAGTTTTGTTAGGAGCACATAGGTACTCTAACCCACTACTGGAACAGAAGCTATGATTTTAAGGTATTAGAAGCAAAGAAAAGAATTTCACCCCAAAGCTCAAGCAATAAAAGACACCCTGAAAAAGAAACTCACCGACAATCCGTTGTCCATCCTCTGTTCTTAGCCGAACTATTTGCATTTTCACGTTTGTGCCACTGACAGATGCTAGAACACCTTCAACTTTTGTCCAGACACTCAGTACTGAGCCACACAATACATAATACGTGCGGCACCGAAGACCTATTTCACACACTAATCCCAAGCTTGCCTTTTTGCAATTGCCACGCCTAGTAAAAAGGGGAAAAGAGGAAGAAGATGTAAATACACCAAACACGGCATTTTATAAGAGGCTTACAAGGCCCAACTAAATTTCAAATAGAAAACATTCCAAAATCATGTGCTTTAACTGACAGTTTCTGAGATGACAATTCTTTCAGATGCTTTGGGTTATCCTTTCTAATGTAAGGTCATTATGGATTTTTAAAACTATAATTACTTCTGGGGTCTGAGTTTCCTATAAAAAAGGGCAGCTATAAATAATGGTTTTGATACTCATTTAAGCATTCAATTTAAGACACACCAGTTTTTACTGTACAGATGCTACCTTAAAATAACCCTGCCACTTATTTCTGTACTACCTACCAACATTACTCTAAATTTTATAAGTGGAAAAAGCATCTGCAAATAAACAAAAAATAAAGCTGTGTTTAATTTAAAAAAAAAAAAAAAAGCTATTTTTTATGCATACACATATGGCCTAGGTATAGGCCAGAGGTTGTGGGGCAGGTGTGTGTGTGTGTGCGTTGTGTGCACGGGTGTGAAATCCCCAGAGACAGTATGGGAAGCAGAATAGGCAGATCAACTAAAATCCACTGATGAGAGCAGTGGGCAAGACAGGATAGAACTATTGTTCCATGTGGGCTAATCCTTCAGCTGGGGATCAAACTCATGTTGTTAGCAACAGCTAGATAGTGACCAGACTTTAACCCCTGTGCCACCAGGGAGGCCCTGTACATCAGTTTTTAAAAACTGTGACGAGGCTCTCTGGTGAAGCAGCAGGTTAAAGTGCAGCACTTCAAGCTAGCTGCAGCTGCTTCAGTGCAAGTTCAACCCCCTGCCTCAGAGGTGATCCACATGGCACAGCAGACCTCTCCTGTCTTGCCCGCTGCTCCTCTCAGTAGTGTACTTCTTCAATCTGTCTATTCTGCTTTCTACTCTGTCTCTGGTGAACCCTTTCACTGCCCCTGCTCCTCTGCCTGTACCCCAGTTGTATGCATAAATAAATCAATCTTAAAAAAAAAATCACTTAAGTTTACATATATAAAGCACTCAAATTCATACACATTACTTTTCTTGTTAAAACTCAAAGCAAATGTGTCAGAGAAGGCATGTAGGGCTAATTAAATTAAACTAAAACAATTTATCTTCTGCCAAAAAATTACCTTAACAATTTCTTTCTAAATTAATTCAGGGGCCTTCCTAGTAGCATAAGGGTTAAGTTTCAGTATTATCACCCCTGGTTTCTGGGTTCAACCCATGGTACATCAGACCTCTCCTATCTTGCCAGCTGCTCCCCGTTAGCAGTGTATTTCAGTAGGTCTGCCTCCCCACTATGTCTCTGTTAGATTGTTTTACCTCCTGCACCTCTGACCTATATCCCAATTCCTGTATGCAAATATAAATGTTTAAAAAAAATTAATTTCTAACAGCACCAATTTATTCTCAAAATAAAAAGTCACTACTCACATTAAAGGAAATTTATCTGCTTATACAATGAGTCTAAAAAAATATAGCTAAAATTTACCTCTATCCTATATCCTTTTTCATGAAGCAAGCCAGCTATTTAATGGCTAACTACTCAATGGGTGAGAAAACACTGGGTAGTAGAGATGTGCAGTGATATTAAAATGCCATGAACAAGGAAAAAAAAAAGCTATGGACAAGGTCCTGAAATGAACATCATACCAGGTAGGATCAGCTCTTGGGTTCAAGAGCAGAAAGTCTTTCTGGTGCTATGAGTGACCTGAAGTAGCTCTCAAGTCTTAAGAATAAAACTGACTTAGGGGCCTTCCCTGTGGTACAACAGGTTAAAGTGCAGCACTGTGAAGCTAGCTACAGCCACTTCAGTTTGAGTTTGATCCCTGGCCAGAGAGGTGACCCACATGGGATGGCAGACCTCTCCTGCCTCGCCTGTTGCTCCCCTCAGCAGTAGACTTTGTTGAACTGCCTTTTCTGCTCCTTACTCTGTCTCTGGTAAAACCACTCACTTTGCCCCTGCACCTGTGGCCTGTACCCCAGTTTGTATGTACAAATAAATCTTTAAAAAAGAAAGAATAAAACTGACTTGTGACACCTGCAAAGCTTTATTATAAAAGGAAAAAATGGGGAAGGGAAGGCAGGAGAAACAGTAAGTCTTGACACTAGAATGACAGTGCAGGCTTTGCTGCCAGGTAACAGGCAACAAAGAGCAATCGTGAAAAGCAGGGAGGCCTGCAAACTGTGTGAGGGTCCACAGATGTTCAATAACCACTTCTGAAGCAGCAGACAGCATGGAATAACAGCAGACCTATCTGGGTGTACTTCTAGGATAGTGAATTAAATACTCAAGACAGATTTAAATCAAAGCTTTGATTTCACTCAGAAACCACAGAGAAAAACTTGAAAATACTAACCAATAAGCGTGAGTACAAGTATCTGCAGATGAATTATACTGATCTAACCAGTGGACCAGGGCGTCATCTGAAACAACCTGTGAAAATAAGACAAAAATTCCACTGAAACAGTATGACTTTGTTACCTAATGGTCTCTAAAACCAACTGTTATCGATAGCGAAAACTGGCCCACACCACTGCCAGCATTTGATGCTATTCAAAAAGCCGCCTGAGGACTCCTCCAAAGCAATAAGCTTTTTAAATAGGAAGTTTAGTAAGAACTGTTACCAAGTTTAATCAGAACTGTTATATGATGAAATAGCCACAATAATAAAATAACAGCAATGCTAGGAAAAATGCATTTTTAACTACTTTTCTATTGCAAATAAACAGTTCATAGTTGATAGGAGTTTCAGTAACACATTCCTTTTATTTAAAAACTTCTCATTTTCATAGTTAGCACTGAAAACTTCTTTTCTGACAACAAAGCTGTTTAGAATAACTGTACATTTCCAAACTGAAAACATTAATCAAGAGATGTTTTGTAACAAAACTTACAACTTCAGTAAGTCCTTCTGAAAATGACTTCCTAGCAACTAAACAGAACAAACTAATAAAAGTAACTTTACATGACTATAAAGTTCTCCTAAATAGTTTCAATAAGTTGCTATAAAACAAGTAATAATGTACAGATGCAAATGTACCTTCTTATATTTCTTTTTTAGATCAGCATAAATTTCTAACTTGAGCTGTTTCCCAGTATTTGGTCTATAAACTAAGAAAAGCTTCTTTTTAGGGTTCACTTCTTTAACTAAGATCGCAGTTTTCTTGTTGTTCCTTATCTAGGAAAGAAAAAAAAAGTGAGAAAATACAGAGATTTGATACTGTGAACTTAGAATGTTTGCTTTACCGTCAAATCCACAAATAACAGTTGAAAGATTATAGTGCCAAACAAAACTGAAGGTCTCACCAAAATATTCAAAAGATTATCTTTAATAAGATCAAAAGCACAAGTGTTCAGAAGAGAATTTTGCTTGTTGTGGTCAAGCAAAGCTCAAAGGCCTTACAGAGAGAAGGGCTTAAATTTTTTTTTAAGATTTATTAATTTATGCATACAAAACTGAGTGCACAGGCCAGAGTATGCAGAGGCGGTGAGAGGATTCACTAGAGACAGAGTGGAAGCAGAACAGGCAGACCAACAAAAGCACACTGCTGAGGGGAGCAGCGGGCGGGTAAGGAGAGGTCTGCCATGCCATGTGGATCACCTCCAAGACGGGGTTGAACTTGCACTGAAGTGGCTGTGGATCACCTGCGCTGCTGAGTTTTAACCCACTGTGCTACCAGGGAGGGCTGGGAGTAAGTAATCTTGACAGTGGGCACAAAAGATCTTCACAAAGAAATTAATTTACATTTAAAGTCTATTATAATAAATGTCATTAAAAAAGCAATTTTTCTGGCCCTCCCTGGTGGCGCAGCGGGTTAAAGCACAGCACTGAGAATCTGAAGCCACTTCCGCATGAGTTCGATTCCCGC